AAAAATTGAATTTGAAAAAAAGAAAAGAAAAAAAGAAGTCAATTCAAGCCACCTTCAAAGTTTTGGCTGTTATACGTTGGCCGAACCCATATTAATGCATAGTATTTTTTGTTTCTGGCAATTCCTTCTCCATTGCAGCTGACTGTAAAAATTTTGGTGGGGTGGGTTGGGGTGGGGTGGGGTGGGGAGGTTGTAGAAGACAACCCTTTTTTAATTTCTTTTTTAAATTTTTTTGATTTTTCTTGATTTTTTTAATTTTTTTTTCAATTTATTTAGTAAATTATCAAGTTACTATTTTACCCATTCCAATTTAATCAAAATAGGTCAAAATTTACTTTTCTTGGCCAACTAACGGTCAAACGGACGGTTTCCATCCATTTGAACTTCAGGTGCGGATTTTTGAGAAGTTTGGTAGCTCCAGTGGCACAAATGAAAGGTTTTGGCAAAGTCTGCTAATAAACGAGAGGTTTGGTACCTCGACTGCAATTTTTCCTTTATTTAATTTAATACTTTTAACCTCTTATTTCCACCGTACCGTCCCATCACTGTAACAGTCACCATTATTGATTGAAAATTTATCAATTCATTGAATTGTTTGGGACATTTTGAATTTTATTTCATAATCACAAAATTTATACATGTATATATAAACTATGTAAAGAACTTTCTTTTACCCACATGAATTTCACACGTCTACACACACAGACTTGAAAAGAAATAGCATTTTATTTCACAAATCATTTCAGAATTTCTTTGGTATCATTTGAGGTAAAAAAAATATGCAAGTGGTTAATTTTTATTCTTGATATTTTTATAGACTTTGGCATAAAATACGTTAAGGCCATCGGATCGATTTTTATGTTAAATCCTACGGGATGGATCATTTGGTAGAGTATATAAATTCTACGGGATATATGAATTCTTATGAAATTCCTCGAGATATTGGATGTTGCGATTAGTTTGCTCTAAATCTAAGAAATGTCGATATGTCATGTCATTTTTATAATTATATCATGTTAATAAGAATATACATTTTTTTTCTTACTGGGTATTTTTTTTAAAAAAATACTCACTCTTACTAAATTTTCTGATTATAACGGGTCGTATGGATTCGTGGCGGGTTGATCGAGTGATACTCATATGGTCGTCAAGTAAAAGTTTCTAAAAATGATAAATTGCAATTTATATTTGAAAAAAAATAAATTCTTATGTTAAATTTTATGCACGGTATTTAGTAGTTTTTTTCTTTTGTGTTCAAGAAATTGAAGTTCTATGTTAAACTTGAATTTATGCGTTTTTCTTGTGTTCGAACATTTGACATTTTATGTTAAATTCGAAATGATAGTTTGAAACTGTAGTACTTTAAAGTTTTATTTGATGAGAAAAACCTTTCACTTAAATTGTTGGTTATAATTATCGTCTTATCAAACAAATTTCAAATTTTGAATAAAAAGTAGATTTTGCTTAAATTACAAAAATGGAAATTTTGGCAACGTTTTAAGCCTATATATATATATATATATAGATTTTGGGGCATTACACATTCCATCAACTTTTATCAAAATTCATTAAAAATATAATTTTCACCTAAATAAAAAAGAGGCATAATGTCATAATTTTCCCATTTTGAAGTTTTTCTTCATAATTATTGTTAGCTAAAACTCAATATTGACGTAGCTACAAAGGAGGGCGAGGATCTTTTGGGGATGGAATAGGTTTGTAGTGATCACAAGTACTTGTAACTCATGCCAAAACGCTACTTGGGAGACTTGTCCTTTTTGTTAGAATGCTAAACATTTGGTAGCGACTGAAGTTTTCTAAAACATATATACTGCTGAATAGCCGAAATAAGCTATAATTATGAACCGGCCATCCAGCAGAAGAGGAAGAATTTCATATAATATTTTTTTTAATTTCTGATAAAAATTATAAATTTCATAAAATATGTATTTAAAATTAATTATTAATTTTGACACCAACTTTTTAATAACTTTTTAAGCTATTCCAATCAAACATTAACCAGGATTCTGGTTCATGATAGTATTGGAGAGTACTTAATGATAAAGCAAATAAAAACTTAGGAGAGTGACATGAAATGTGACTTCGAGTTAAGAAAAACAAGTAATAATTTGATTGGCTCCAAAAATTGGGAAAGAAAGCTAAAAGGTAAAGGAATCGAGTCTATACTTTTGTTATGCTCCTTGCTACCATTCTTCTCGAGAGATATTTTATAACTCTTTATCGAGGTCTACCTTTCAAATGCTTCTTATCCTTTATATCAAGTTTAGAACTTTGAATCCGTGTTATAAATGCAAAAAATTGTTTTTGTAAATCTTTATTGGTCCATGTATGCCAAAATCTTGATTGAATTTTACAAGCTTTTTGCTAGAATATATTCTCATTTTTTTAGCCTATATATTGTGTGAGATCATGTTGCTTTAGAAGTAAGGGTTTATAATACAAATCAACACAAAAAGTCTTGTAAGTCACAATAGAACTCATTATGGAAACCCTAATTAATGTCTCTAAGTTATCATGACATTGATGTTTGTTCATTGAGGTGTAATGATAACAAATAATTATTTTTGTTCCTTAAAAGTGGAAAACAAAAAAATAAAAAATCATTTAGGCATGCCAAATATCAATAATTTTTAATTTCCGAACTTGCTACAAAGATTTTCTTTTTACTTCTTTAAATCAAAGATTAGCAAAAGTTTCACTAGTCAAAATTATATTAATTACCAACGCAAGTTAGCCTTAAGATTCGTAACTTCAAAAGCACCTATTTTTGTTCTGCGCGGAAAAAAAAAAAAAAAAAAAAGATGCTTATAAGTACCAAAAAATACATAAAAATATTTGTTTTAGAAAGTAATTGTAATTTTTTTCCGTCGTTCAGAACAATAAGCCCAAAAAAGTAAGGGTATCATTTTTTGGACTTAACTTTTTGTTTGACCTTGTTAATTATTATTTTACTCTTATCCATTTTTGTTAATTTTGCTTAAAATAAGTAATTTTTTTCTAAAAAAAAGTGCGCAATGTATGATATATGTATTTATACACTTATCTAAGTCATTAAATTGAAGTATTTATTAGTGATTTGGAAAAGTTATAATTTAATTATGCATTAATTATGTTTGTTAAGTTGAACTCAATACAAATGAAAGAAATGAAAAGAGAAAAAAAAAAAACTATAAAAATGAAAGAAATTTAAAATTTTGAGATCAAAAGTGGAAACATTCAATAGTTGACTCGAACAATAAAATAACGATTGGAGATCATATATGATTAATTGGATGCAATTTGAAGTCAAATGAGTGAAATATAGTTGAAATATTTTCACAAATCAATTTCTAACCCGAGAAGTTGTGCTCTGAATTTTTTGCTTCAACTTAAGACCTATTTTTTAGATAGTAAAGTTCGAATTGGAAAAATGTATCTTTTTGAGTCGTCTTTAGAACGCACTTTGAATCATCTCAATCGAATATCAAAAGAGAGTTATTTATCAAAATATTGAAAACTGCTCAAGGACAAACTCGGCAAACCTTTGCGCGCTCGCGATACCCGAATTTTTACTACTCGAGAACCATTTGGATCAATGGTGCGCACGATGGTTATGCCTGTGCACGCACAGGGTTATTTTTCAAAGATGATTCAGCAATTTTCTTTTGATTTAAGCTCTTTTAAAACCCAGATTGGATGTGATTTTGACCAAAATTCAACTCTATAATAGGGAACTTAGAAGGAACATTGAAAGAAGTTCTCTTATACCTCTTTATACGCGATAGTACCATCAAATTCATCAAAAAACAAAGGGTCAATTACTATATTTTGATACAGAAGATCAAGCCCTAGAAAGCAATTGAAGCTCAATTGTGTTGAGATTTTTAAAAAAATTAGCCTAAACTTAAATATCAACATTTTGAATTATTTCATGATCAAGGTGATATTTTTCTATTTTCTTCTTGCGATTCATATATTACTGTGTTATGCTAGATTCACATTTATATTAGATGAAGTTGGACACTATTTGTTATTTATTTCTAATTCAAGACTAATAGTTTATTATTTCTTGAATTTTTAAATTAATTTTGTATATACGTTGCATTATTTAATTGTTTAGCTGCCAATTAGATAATTAATTTCTTGTTGTGGTGTTGGATACTCACAATAAGTTTAGAACGCGTTAAAATTAACGTATATGCAATAGATGTTAGGAATAACATTTCTCATTTATACAATCACATAGTTAATCTAAAATTTAATGTGTTATAACCATTCGAATTCGGATTAGGAATATATTAGGATCGTGATAAGGATAGAATTAATTTGTCTCGAAAAAGAAAGTTAAATACATTAGCACTCGATCGTCAAGAACGCAAGAACGGAACTAGATTATAAATCAAGAATTGAAATAGATTATAATAGGTGGAGTCGAAATCAAATATAATCATCCATAATTTAAATAATAGGATTTTTATTGCTTTCTTTTATTAATTTAGCAAAAATCAAATCAAAATATCTCTTTTATTTTATATAATTCGAATTTCATATGTAATTAGTAGATTTGAATTGAATTTATTCTTTATGGGATGATAACTCTTAACTCACCCAAATCTATTGCTTGTCAACAGTTTCGTACGCTTGCGAATTTCACATGAACAATATACTTATAAGTATAATTTATCCAAACACGCATAATAATTAATGTTACTTTTTGTATTCGTAAAATGATTATTCCTTTTTAAAGCCCATCCAAACATGTTCTTGGGGTGAAGGATGAAAGGCAACTATTGTACATAATAAAATGTGAAAATTACAAATGAGAAAAAATCTAACATTTGAAATTTTTTAATATTCATTTTTAGTATTTTTATTGGCGATGATAATGCAATTGTGAAATATCACTCTCATACCACCCAAAAAAAAAAAATGAAAATAAATAAAGAGGGAGAAAGAAACGAACTTTAAAGCATGTTCGGTACATTTAATAGGAATAAGAGGGATATCACATTCTTAACTCGAAGAAAATGCCTCACACCAAATGTAGACATCATTTGGCCACCCAATTTAATACGGTAGGCAACAAATTGATAATCAGTTGACCTTCATTACAGGGAATGAAGTGTACGCACAAATGACAATAAATGGGCTTTCTTGAGCAAATACCCAGTTGTCATTTCTTCTTCCTTTGGTGGTCTAGATTTGGAATTCACCATTATTCAACATGGTTTTCAACATTTTGAGCAGAGCATCTTTTTCCCACTGAAAAAAATGGGCTTCAACTACTTGTACGGGGATACAATACACTTTTCCTAAGAGTACATCTCCAAATCTGCTGAGGTACAACTACTTGACTTTCTTTTTATTCAACTTTACCTAGAGTGTAGAGGAACTTTCCATGGTATAATGAGGGATTTTCCTTCTTGTTTTGGTGAAAATGGTGTACAAATTGCTGATTCTTCATCATCTAATGCAACTAGGGCAACCCAAAATCTTGTTACTTGTGTTTACCATTGTCAATTACAAAGCGTTTCTCGCTTCATCACTATTACATGGACTAAGTATTTGATGGGCCAAGGATTTAGTGTTGGAATTGAAAATTCAACAAAACAATGCCTATGTAAAGTTGACATCAAACCCTGGTTGTTTTCCAAGAGAAAAGGGTTCAAGAATTTGGAGGTGGGCTCTAATTTAATTGATATCTATTGGGATTTATCCTCTGCAAAATTTGGTTATGGACCAGAACCCTTAGAGGGTTTCTATCTAGCTGTTGTGTTCAATCAAGAACTGATTTTACATCTTGGGGACTTGCAAAAACAACTGTACAAGAAAATAAATGTGTCTCCCCTTTCTAGTAATGCAGTTTTTGTTGCTAAAAGGGAACATATATATGGCAAAAGATTGTACAATTCTAAGGGTCAATTCTGTGATAAGGGGAAAGTACATAATATTGGTATTGAATTAGACACCGTTGGGGGGAGTAAGGATCCATGTTTAGTGATCAGCATAGACAGCAAAGAAATGATAAGAGTGACACATCTTAAATGGAAGTTTAGAGGCAATACTACAATTGTGGTGGAGGGATTTCCAGTTGAGGTTTATTGGGATGTTTATGGTTGGCTGTTTGGTAATGTTATGGGCAATGCAGTTTTCTTGTTTCGAACTCGACTCTCAACTGAGAATGAGAAGTTCTGGGCTTACCAGTCTCCTCTTCCCAGCCCCTCTGTATTGAATTGGGATGGTTCACATAAGTTTAGTGATCCTCAGTTGCAAGATAAGGGATTTTCATTGATATTGTGTGCTTGGAAGAATGAATAGTAAGTGTGTTTATGCTTTCAGACTTCATACTTAACGAAGAAATAAAGACATACTTCGAGTGATTATGTTTTCTCAGGTTCGTGATCTGGTAATTCTTGCAGAGCTACACGTTAGTACACACGTTGTTGAACCTGAAGAACACTCAAAGTGGGCTACATTTAGAACACTTAATGCATGTTTGGCACACACTATTAAAAACATGCTAAAAAATACGATAGATAAGATTTCAGCTTCTTTTTTTCTTTATTAATATTGTCTTGCACTGTTTAATTTACCTTACCAGTTTGGAAGTGGTTTAGTGTTCTCCAATAGATATTTTGCTAGTCTTCAAGTCCATCTTGAGAAGGCCACTTGATGTTGTATATATACGGCTGAAAAACACTATTATCCTTTGATTTTAAAGGATAATATTATAGAAACGTGTTTAATTTATTGTCTAGTCCTTTCTAATACTGCAATCAAAGACATTTTGAAGATCTGCATGAGAGGAAGTGTTGGGTTGGAATCGTTATTTTTAGCATATATGTTTTCTTGCTTGTTGCAGTTGGATAGTTTGTTTAAAGACGAGACTGGCAAGTTGTTTGACAGTTTTATTAGTAAAAAATGTAATACTGAAACTCAATAAAATAAGCTACTCAAAAAATAAGTCTAATTTACTTTAAAGATGCTTAAGTCTCTTTAACTGACTTAAGTTTTTACAAATTAAAGGGCAATAGGGATTGTGCCAATCTTGAAGGCCTCCAGGTTTGAAATGATTATTACTTCAATTGATGGGAATTCATGATGATGAAAGATTAATTAACAATTTTATCGACATGTAATAATAAAGTAAAAGTGCGCATTTGAAGGGACTAATTGCAATCTATGATAAGAGCTTTAACTGTGTTCTTAAAGAAAAAGGTGTCAAGGCAACCATTAATACACAACCAAATTAACTTTAACTTTATAAGATTTTTTATTTAATTTTTTCTCTTTTAAAGGAAATATGGTGTAATTGGGGCATATGACACAAGTATCATTTTTGGTTGCATAGCCACAACGGCAAAGGGCCTTTCTCATCATGTTTGGAAGACTTTTAAGGATAAGCTCTTCAGCACAAGATTCACAAAGGTATGCTAATAATGCCAAAAACCTTTCTTGTACACATTCAGGCTACTTGAGTGTTCTAGTGGACATATCTATTTCGATAATGTATTCTATTATTTATTACGTTTGATTTGATATCAAGTTTGACATAATGAATAGATATTGCCTACTAAAACGAGTTCAAGATGAACAACAAAATAACATTTCCGCGAAAAAGATCTAGAAATTACGCACTATCCATTGAGAAAGTATCAATTTCAACAAACAAAACCATGACCGAGTTACCTCGACCATCCTCGATAAACATTGATGCTTATCACAACTATGTGATTTATCACGTATTATTTGTCAACGATTTCATATACTAGCCAAATTTTCACGAACACGTCTCTTGCCCACAATTTCAACTGAGTACCTTCAAGCTTGAAATCCTAACCTGAAATAAATTACAGAAGTGATTCCACACTTGCACCTGCAAGAACTGATGATGTGTAGATTCAGTAGAGGCATTTAAGGGGCGGCATTGGCATTTGGATGCCAAGGATATTTGCCACAAATTCCAGCAGAACAGATGAGATCTTAAGTTGGATGGTTACGTGCCATATGAATTTCAATGATGTTAATTGAGTCTTCTACTCCTCCTGGTTCTGATTTCCTCCCAGAAAGATTTTACAGAGACTGCTAGACAGGATCCTAAACATTTGATCATTGGTTTCAGGCTGCAATGGTACTTCTTTGATTCTTAAAACTTCATGTTCTGGCAGCACCCTTTTAATATGGCAGTGTCCCACTCTCCTGTCCAGAATTCATAAACTTGTACGGTTGAGCACTGGACGCGTGTGTTGCAGCCTGAGCACTGGACGCGTGTGTTGCAGCCTGAGCACTGGACGCGTGTGTTGCAGCCTGAGCACTGGACGCGTGTGTTGCAGCCTGAGCACTGGACGCGTGTGTTGCAGCCTGAGCACTGGACGCGTGTGTTGCAGCCTGAGCACTGGACGCGTGTGTTGCAGCCTGAGCACTGGACGCGTGTGTTGCAGCCAGTGGAGAATTTTGTGCAGGAAATGAGCTTCTCGACGCGCCTATTGATGAGACCCATTATGACTCCGGGAAACAATCAATCAATTAGTCTGTATGTGCAAACTAAATGTATACGGAACAATTCCCCACACCATGTGGGTAAAATATTGCCAAAAAAAACCCCACCCATCCTCACCCATGGCCATTGTGAGTATTCTGTAAACCCTTTGTCAACCAAATTCTGTACATCTAGCTTCTTTAAACTATCAATATGTGTCTGATTAAAATACACGGAGGTGACATGCATAGAGTGTTCTTGGATCACGAGCAATGATTTATCGGTCTTCAGTATTTATTTTAAATTACACATTTTTTATTAAAATAATAATACACGCAAATCAATTTTTTTTTTTTTAACAACATATCCTCCATCGATCTACTATTCCATAATGCATTTTTCAAAATTAAACGTGATTGAACACAGCCTTAAATCAAACAAACTTAAGTGGGGACAGCTTAATTTTTGAAAAGAAAATCATGAAAGATATTTGCCTGTTGTTTTCTTGTCTAAAATGACAACTTACCAAAAATGAAAAATACAATGTAACTCATTTGATTATGTAAAAGGATAATTTTGTCAGTCTGTCAGATGATTTGGACTACCGAATGAAACGAGCCTCAAACATTATTCACACACTAACTAATTCTCCTGCTAATTGGCTTCTCCGAGTAACTTGAGCAAAGTACGAAGTAGAAACCAGTTTTAAAAAAGGCAATTTCTCCTCCAAAAGATGTTACAAATCTCGAGAGACGAGGAAGAATAACTCAGAGGCAAACACCGTACTTGCAACATCGAGTACAAGTTTATAAGAAGTACAAATTTTTACACACAGGTTCGAAGTTAATATTGAAAATATATGATGTTTCAACATCAGCTAGAGCATTTATTACCCTAGCTATCCTTTGGAGCAGGCATCAATAGAAGCTTTTCTTCTGATGGCTGTTTCGCCCCCGACGACCTCTCTTCCGCTAATAGAGACAATAAATCACTGCCATTTGCCAGACTGTTGAACTCGACAGCTTTGGATGGGGCTGTAGGATAACGTCGTTGGCAGAATGTCATCAACCTTTTAACAGACTGCAAATACTTACGGGTGGTCTCATCATTCATGATGTGAGCCACACTGTTTGTGTAGATCTTTTCACGTGCAGAACGTTCATGAATACCAACCATAGTGACACCAATAGGCCAGGGGGCATTTCCAATGGCCATTCTTATGTAATGATCCATTGCAGCCAGATAATCCCGCTTCATACAGCATTCGACAAACAATAGCAATGCTTGCCGAATATCATCAGGAAGAACCTAGAAAACAGATAAAGCATTGTGTAAATCATTTACTTGATAGTCATAATTTGCGCTCATACTGAAAAAGATTAAGAAAATTTGGTAACTCTTTGTGGGCTTCAATTCAGTAGCTAACAATGCCCACAAGCATAGAACTGAAATTCTTCACTTATTGCCCAGAGAAGGGGATAGAGGACAAAGTGCACCGGTGAATGAGGAAGCCAAGTTCCAAAGACAGCAGATAGATTGTGAAATACTTATTTGCAACATAATCAATTTTCCAGGCATCATCTACTGTTTAGCAAGGGAAAAATGCTAGTTCGAGTTAAGATATGTTGATTGATTACAGTTAAATCCTAGCATCTTGCCATCACGGAATTTCTTTTTATTGTGTCAGTTCATATCATGCAACCTCAAAAGAAATTTAAAACGGTAGTCACAGTTTATAGAGGTATGGTACAGTTAACTGCATTCATCTCGGCATAGCATATGTCTAATCTCATGGTATTAAATTCCATAATTCTTAAAACAAGACTCCCAGATCTTCATATTCCAAACCATGCCACATCCATCCCCTGGTTCCCACGTTCCACCCCCACCCCCACCCTATGACCCCAATCCAAAATAATACATTTTCCTTAATAGAATGTATTATCATTAGCTCAACTTTACCGAACATATTAATTTTATTAATGGTTTTCCATGACATATACGTCAATAAGGAGTGCCTCCATCTTTTAGTTTATGTTGTCCCTTTTCGCCAAAACCATGTAGCATATAGCAATAACTTTTACGCTTGCAAATCCTATTTGGCAGAGCTCATGAATAACACAGATGTCAGACTCAAAACAACATCAGCTACAGAATTGTCAATGTTCAGATACTATTACAATTAAATGCTACCTAACCTCCAAAATATATGGAAGATTGAATCATAGCCTATGCTCCATAGACAACGAACTACTAGAACAGAATTTCACCCACCCGAAATATCACTTCCAGCTATATCAAGCACAAGTGCAATACTTGTGCATCCACCTGCTCGGGTTTGCACGAGATTGAGATACATTTGAGGCTAACAGAGGCCTCAAAGTAAAATTGCAATCTATGTCACATATATGCACTTAGATAACATTTTAGGAACCCATTCAAATTGGTTTTCTATTTGATCCACCCACTCTCATTCCCGCTCTATCTTGCTTCTGTGCCCTCTCACTCCATGTGACTTAAAAACTGAAATTGATTGAACAACTTGGATGAGCACAAATACACTAATCATCGATTGGGGTGACTGGTGAGCTATGGCAGGCAGTAGTAGTATACAACAGGTTTATTGGTGCTCACCTCCTAAATTCTCGAGAAACAAGAATATATAAGAAGTACAGCCCCTTTCTTCAAGTAATAATAATTTTATTAAACACATGTAAAACTGGTTAATTGATAAACACTACTGGCTCTGCGGGGGGGAAAAAGGTTCAGAATAACTGTGTCGTAGGTTGTTCGTCCCATGGCCTCATTTGTTAGCAGACCATTTATTTAAAAGTACCAGTGCGTTACCCGGTGGTATTAACATTTGTATACTGTGTTCCAGATGACAATATCTATTATTTAGATCATTGCTAAACTACCTAAACTTGACACCTACCAGGTGCACGGAAAAAGACCTTCAAATTTATAGATTTGGCTTTAATTTAGGGGGCTGTTCTCTTTGTTTCAGTTTTGTAGTTTTGAGTTTCAAAATCATTTTGAGTTTTGTGTTTTGAGGGCCTGTGTTTGAAATTTTTGAAAATACGTTCTTTTTCTCATTCTATAAAATTGTTTCTCAAAACATAAAAATGGAAAATGGGTTTGATTTGAAATTTTGAGAATATTTTTTCAAGCTATTTTATTCAAGAAACCACCACACCAACACCACCACTAGGTCGACTACAAAGCCGCCACCACTAGCTCGAAATCCACTGCCAACCAAGATCAACACAACCACCGACTGCCAACACCACCAACATGAACCAAAATCAACCAAATCACAGTAAATGCAACCACCAAAAAAAATATTCAACCACCAGGACAAAAAGAATGCAGAAAATAGAGAACCATCAAACATACCACCACCACCATCAAGAACGCAGAAATCAACCAAAATCAATTCATCCACCATGAATCATCAATTCATCCACCGCAGAAATGAAGAACACACCACCACCACCGTCAATTCAACCACCATAAACCATCAATTCATCCACCGCACCTCATCACCATCGTTGACCGCCACCAACACCATCAAACATACTACCACAAAATCAACCAAATCACAGACGGACCACTACTGCTTGCTTGCCGCCGCCACCATCAACACCCAGCGCCTTTCGAATCGCGCAGAACCCATCGCGACCTTGCGTTCACAGCAGCGTCGCCTCCCCACACCGGCGCCGGCGTCAACCCATCTCTTTCTTTGTTGGTTGCAGTGTTTGAGAGAGAAGCCAGCGTCGAGAGAGAAGGAAGAGACGGCTATTTGGGAAGAGAGAAAGAAGACCGAAGAGAGAAAGGGCTTGAATGAAGTTTCTCTTTCCTCTTTCCCGTGTTTTCCATAAAATTTGGGTTTCGTACAGAAAACGTCCAAAACGTCAAAATTGACATTTTGCGTTTTCTTCACAAATTTTTTTTTGTTTTCGAAAATTCTGTTTTCGAAAAGGGAAAAGAGAACGAGTTTTCACAATTTTGAAAAATCGAAAACAGAAAACGGCTTGAAAACAGCAAAGAGAACTCAATGTCCACCAATACTTGCATTCTACTCTCAGATAATCATATCAATTGAAGAATCTATAATATATAATCTGTGTAATCAAATGCAGCTTTGTTCCTTACACCACCATAATATTTAAAACTATATTGCGAAGCTGGAAAAAGGAGTCAGGAAAAAAAAATCCATACAACTCATAAAGATCAACCATGCTGAGTAGTGTAACGCATGCCAAAATCATGCTAATTACAGCTTTGAAGATGCATTAGTCAGTTGTTATTTAAACATTAAAGTTTACACACTACATAACTGATAAAATAATCATAAAAGTCGATACAGTATGTTTTCCTTCACATAATTTCACCCCTTCCACTACAATATCACAAGACTAAAAGCACATTGCATGAGAGGAAGTAGTTGTAAAACTGGTTTAATGGTTCAATTATTAGCACTCACAGATAAAAATTAACGCTCTGTGAGCGAACAAGTGAAAGCAGCTAATGAAACTAAAACACGAACTAACCTTCTTTCTGCAGAATTTGAACAGAGGGTTCAAGTACCGGGCACACTGCTTAAAAGTGGCAACCATTGATTTTCCTTTAGCAGTCCTCTTCTCTGCCTCGCTCATTTCATTTAACTCCTGATTCCACTCATTCAACAACTTCTTAAAAAACACCAAAATCTTATCCTCATCGCACAACTCCTCAAAATTTGCTTTCATTCGCTTTATATCCTTGTCGTGATCTACACCCGAAGATGCTCCA